GTGCGGCCGGCTGTCACGGATCCGCGCGCGCTGGTGTCACTTTCCGGCGGGCGGGAGCGGACGAGTTGGGGCCGAGGGCCCGCCCGCCCTGCCGCCCTTTCGGGAGACTCCGGCCGCTCCGGAGCAGGAAGGGAAGGGACGACCCCGCCGCCCGACGGGACTTCTGGGCCGGGCCTCCCGGGTCGGTTACTGGCACTGTCCCTGACCCGGCTGTCACGGATCCGCGCGCGCTGGTGTCACTTTCCGGCGGGCGGGAGCGGACGAGTTGGGGCCGAGGGCCCGCCCGCCCTGCCGCCCTTTCGGGAGACTCCGGCCGCTCCGGAGCAGGAAGGGAAGGGACGACCCCGCCGCCCGACGGGACTTCTGGGCCGGGCCTCCCGGGTCGGTTACTGGCACTGTCCCTGACCCGGGAGAGGAGGTGGGGTGGTGCTTGGCACGCAGGGGACTCCGGGGAGACAGGTCCCACCAACCCTGGCTGCCTGGAACTCGCTGTGTAAAGGGGCCGGTCTCCATCGCACAGAAACCCGCCTGCCTCAGCCTTGGGAGTACGGAGATGAAAGGCCTGCGCCACCATGCCTGGCCAGGGAACTTCTGGTTATTGAAGTTCTGACGTTTCCACTTCAGGGGGTAAGGAAATCCAGACCAGAACACACAAGGTAGTGTTTTTGTGTTTGGTGGCTCACTGTTGGCTCACCTTCCCACTCACCCGTCCCCTTTCTGAAGTTCACGTTGAGTGGTGGGTATTTTGTTACTGGTTTTTTTTAGATGGAGACTTGCTATAATTTATAATAGCTCAGGGCCCAGATAGGCAACAATCCCTTACCTCAACTCCAAGAGCCTAAAGAAGTTGTAAGGTATAGGAAGGAACTTACCACCCGGGAAGAAAGGAAATCTGAACGTAAGGCTGCCAAAGTGCATTTTTATTTTTATCTTTTTGAGATGAACTCACATAGCCCAGGCTGGCTTCAAACTCTCTGTGTAGCCCAGGATGACCTTGAATTCCTGATCCTCATCCCTCTATCTCCCCAGTGTTGGATTGCAGGCATGCACTAGGAGGCCTGGCTTCAGTGGTGCTGAGGCTAGAACAAGGCTTCATGTAGGATAGGCAAACACTCCACCAACTGAGCCACAAATCCCAGCCCCCAAAGTAGATTCTTTAAAGAATGAAATATCACTGTCGGGATGGGATATTTAGATAGTGATGATTCTGAGAGTGAATTAACAGGAGAATTTGGTTATTTCTAGTTTGTTTTAAGAGGAGAAATTTACATGCCTTGTTTTAAATTTTCTATGTGTATGAGTGTATGCCTATATGCATGTAAATGCACCCATGTCGGGCAGTGCATGGGTGGATCCCCTGGGAACCGGAGTTACTGACAGTTGTTAGCTGCCAAGTGGGTTCTAGGAATTGAACCTGGGTCCCCGGCAAGAACAGCCAGTGCTCTTAACTTCTGAGCCATCTCTACAGCCCCGCATGTCCATTTTAAAAAGGAGTGAAAAATATTCCTTAGTCATTTGCTAAGATCAGGTGCAAAAAAGTGAATGTATGTCAAATCTAGATAATGGTGTTAAAATCTTAGTATTGATGTAATATCTGTTAGTTTTTGTTGGCATTTGTAGGTTTGTTTTTGGGCTTTTTTACATTCTTAAGTTGGCATTAAAAATGGTAGTTACTATGACATTCTTATACTTCTGTTTTGTCAGACTTGAATCTTCCTGTGCTCCTGTTTGTGGTGGTATGTCTTAGGAATTATAAGTCACAATATTTAATTTTTGTTAAGTAATCCCTGCTTGTCAGTATAGAAAATACACACGTCTTTTTCCAGAAGTACTTCCAAATAAAAGTGTGCATTCAGTTTCAGACACTATTTTTTTTAATCTTTTTTTTTTATTGATACTGGATCTCATGTAGCCCAGGCTGGCCTCAAACTTGATAATGTAGCTGAGGCTGCCCTTGAACTCATGATCTTTCTGCCTCTGACTCCCAAGTGCTGGGGTTACAGATGTGTGCCATCACTCCCAGCTTCTAATGCTGTTTTTTGTCCGATAAGACATTTTTACTTTGACATACTTAACACAGGTTTAAAAGTGTGTTAATTCCAGTTTCTGGGAGATTGAGGAGGGAGGGCATCTTTGAATTCAAGGCCAGCCTGGGCTACAGTGTGAGATCCTGCCTGAAAAACAAAATGAGGTTGGGGATGTAGCTCAGGTAATAGATGGCTTGTCTAGCATGCACAAGGCCCTGATTTTGAGCTCTGGCATGGAATAAACCTGGTATGCTATCATATTCCTATAATCTCAGCACTCTGGAGGGTCAGAAGTTCAAGTCCGGGGCTGGAGAGATGGCTCGGTGGTTAAGAGCACTGAGCTCCAGTTCCAGGGGAATCTGAAGCCCTCTTCTGACCTCCTCAGCATTGCACGACATGGGTGCACTCACATACATGTAGGCAATACACTCATACACATAAAAGTAATAAAAAATTTTTTTAAAGTTCAAGTCCATTCTAGGGGCTGCATAGCTAGTTTGAGGACATCCTGGGCTACATGACACCCTGGCTTAAAAACAAAACGCGTCTAACATTTGTTATTTAAAAAGTTCTACTGATTTTATATTCTTTTATTGCTTCTCAGTATTTTCAAGTTTCTGCCTGAGCAAACTGGTGAGAAAATTGAAGCTGTTAATAGATTTTCAGAAATTTTTAACTTTTCTCAAACTAAATACGAATATTTTAAAAAATCAATCTTTTCCCAGTGTGGTGTGCACACCTTTAATACCAGCATTAGGGAGGTAGACAGATCTCTTGAGATCGAGGGCAGCATGGTCTACATAGTGAGTTCCAGGCCAATGAAACAAAAAAGCAACCTTTCTGGTTAGTCATATGGCTCAGTGGGTAAAAGGCACCTTCCACCAAGACCGACAGCCTGATTCTGTCAGGCTAAAATCAAAACCTCAAGTAACAGCAGCAACAACTCCTCCTCCTCCACCTCCACCTCCACCTCCATCACCCCCCCACATACACACACACCTCCTCTTCTTTATTGACATGCTGAGGCTCAAACTTTTGGGACCTTGTGTGTTTTAGGCAAATGCTTTACTACTAAGGTACGTCCCTAGCCCCATCCCTTGGTTTTTTGAGATAGGCTTTCACTATGTAAACCTGTTTGACCTGAGCTTGAGGTCCTCCTGTTTCAGCAGCCTGAATGCTGGTTTTTCGAGTGTGTACAACCATGCCCAACTTAAAAAATTAAAAAAACCCCACCTTATAAGCAATGAAACTTGCCCGGCAAATGTTTTAATAGGTAAAGGCATTTGCTGCTAAGCCTAATGACTTGAGTTCCATCCCTGGGACCCACGTGGTAGAAAGAACAAGTAGACTCCTGAAGATTGTCGTTAGACTTCCACACATGTATTCCACAAATGCACATATGTGCTTACACATACAGTAAACAGTAAAATTTAAATGAGTGTGTGGGGTGTGGTGCACAGCTTTAATCCCAGTATTAGGGAGGCAGGGGCAGGTGGATCTCTGAGAGTGTAGCCTGGTCTACTAGTGAGTTCCAGGCCAGCCCAGGCCTTCAGGGGACCCTGTCTTTATACAGCTATTATTTAAAAAAAAAAAACAAAAAAAAACTGGTACCCCAGCCGTGGTAGCACAGGCCTTTAATCCCAGCACTCCAGAGGCAGAGGCAGGCAATCTCGGTGAGTTCGAGGCCAGCCTGGTCTACATAGTGAGTTCCAGGACAGCTTGGGGCTACAGGGAGACCCTGCCTCAAAAAGACAAAAAAACAAAAAAAAAAAACCTTGGACCCATTTTAAATCACTTCCCATTTTTCTCTGACTCCCCACATCCCTAAATAACTACTGATAATACTTTCTATGGATTTACTTACTGGCTATTATATAAAAATTTTAAAAAATATTTTATTTTCATTTTATGTGTATGAATGTATTGCCTACATGTAAGTGTGTGCACCCGTGTCGTGCAATGCCTCAGGTCAGAAGAGGGCTTTGGATTCCCCTGGAACTGGAGTTAAGGACAGTTTGTAGCCGCCATGTGGGTGCTGGGGATCAAACCCGGGTCCTCTGCAAGAGCAGTCAGGGCTCTTAACCGCTGAGCCATCGCTCCAGCACCATATAAAATTTTTTTAAGTGCTTGGAATTGGACCCAGGCCCTTGCAAATGCGATGCAAGTACTCTACACAAAGTTTTTCATTTTTTCTGTTTGCTTTTTTCCCTGTCTCATGTAGCCTAGGTTGGCCTCAGATACTTTTTCTCTGTGGTAAAGGTTGACAATTTTTTTCTTTCTCGGTCTTTTTGTTGTTTTTTTCTTTTTTTTTAAATTTATTATTTATTATTTCACATGTATGCGTTTATTGCCTGCATGTAGGTAAGTGCACCCGTGTTGTGCAGTGCCCGCGGAGGATAGAAGAGGCAGTCGGATACCCTGGAACCGGAGTTACAGACAGTTGTTAGCTGCTATGTGGGTGCTGGGATTCGAACCCAGGTCTTCTGCAAGAACAACCAGTGTTCTTAACCGCTGAGCCATCTCTCCAGCCCTATTTTGTTGTTTTTTCACAGGGTCTCCCTAGTCACAGCCTACCTAGAAGTCAGGATGTGAGCCAGCATGGCCTGGATCTACAGAGATCACCTGCCTCTGCCTCTGCCTCCTGAGGGCTGGAATTAAAGGCAAGGTTGACCTTGAACTGATTATCCTCTTGCCTCTACTTCCTGAGTACTGGAATTCCAGGCTTGCTTTATCATGCCTGCTTTTATGTAGCGTTGGAGGTCAAACCCAGAGTTTCATGCATTTTAACACTACTGACAGAGCTATATTCCCGTATCCTAGGAAGTATTTTACATTAGCATATTTTATTTTGTTGCCTGCAGTAGTATCCGCTGCTGGTCTTGTGTTTATTTATTTTTGTCTTTTGATCTTTGGAGACAGGGTCTCCTTGTAGCCTCAGCTGACCTGGAACTTACTATGTAGACCAGGCCAGCCTTGAACTCATATATCCCCCTGCCTCTGCCTTCCAAGTGCTGGGATTAAAAGCATGTGCCACCATGCCTGGCTTGTTTTTAACTGATTTAAACTCCTTTGTGATTTGATAGTATGCTTGTGGTCAGCCTCTTGGGAGGTGAAGTTCTGTCACACAGCAATACAAAACAGTACTTAAATTATAATGCAAGAATTGAATGAATGAATTTCTCACTTATTCTGGGCAAATATAGTGAAGTTTTACATAATTATCTATAAAAAAGTAACAAAATGAAAAATCACACATTTATAGCATTTTTGCTTTTATTTTGGAGATAGGCTCTCTATGTAGTTCAGGTTGACTTTTCAAACACATAATCATCTTGCTTTAACCTTCTGGAGTATTTTGGTTACGGGGTATGTACGCCCTTGCTAAGCACAGACTTTAGAAGAAATAACACCAAAAGATTGAATTTTAAAATTTTATTGTGTCATTATTTATTTATTTATTTATTTATTTATTTATTTAGGTCTTTTTTTTGAAACAGGGTCTCCCTGTAGCTTTAGCTGACCTGGAACTCACTATGTAGAACAGGCTGGCCTTGAACTCACAGAGATCTGCCTGCCCCTGCCTCCTGAGTGCTGAGATTTAAGATGTGCACCACCACGCATGGCAATTTTCATTTTTTCAAAAGATAGACTTTCACTTTGTAGCTCTGGCTGGCCTGAAACTTGTTATGTAGACCAGATTGGTTCTGACTGCAGCGATCTGCCTGCCTCTGCCTTCCAGGTGCTGGGGTAAAAGGTGTGTAACATCACATTAGGCTGATAATTTTACTTTTTAATTATGTTGTAATCTATGTGATAAACAGTATATAAAACAGTAGTTTGAGAGGTAGTTTAACAGGTTGTTTTTTCTTTAGTTTTCATATTTAAACATTGTGTTTTCCTACAGCTTGCTATGGCATTGTTCAAGTACCCACTGGACCATGGTTTTGCAGGAAATGTGAATCTCAGGAGAGAGCAGCCAGAGTGGTAAGGACTGTTTTATCAAAAACATTAAAATACTTAAGTAAGTAGTATATTTTAGGATGCCAAATATTGACTTGTACCTTCAAACTGATTTTGTTAGCCTTAGCCCTTAATGGAGGTGCTAGCCCTCCAGCCCATTTAAACTGATTTTGTAAAGTCTGTGTGTGTATGTATGTATGTATATGTATGTATTGCTGGATAATTTGAAAACAATTAATGAAATTATGTTCGGTTTTATTTACTCAATTTTGGTGCTGAGGATTGAACCCAGGCCCCAGTGTATGCTAGGCAAACACTGTACCACTGAGCTACACCCTCACCCCTACATTCAGGCTTTATTAACTAGATCTACAGAGTTAAAGCCTGAAATGGTTTGAAGATTATATTAGTTAATCGTAGTTAATAACATAATCACAGAAGAAACATTAGGAAGTCATACTGGTCTTTCTGCTAGGCAAAGGCTTTTAGGTGCTAACATTTTTATTATATATGTAGTTTATAGTTTAAATACTCCCTATTTTCAGTTGTTCAGTTCTTTTTGGCAAAGCAACAGAAAAACATCTTCCCTTTTTTACTTTACCAGTTCACCCTTCTTTCTGAACACTTTTGTAAACTTTTTGTAAAAATGAGGGAGGTTTGTTTATTCTTGGTTTCCAAAAGCACTTTTTTTTGGAGTTGAATATATGGAAATTCCAGCAGAAAGATTAATTTTTTTTTTTTTTTGTTCTTTTGACATAGGATCTCCCTGTAGCCCCTGCTGTCCTGGAACTTACTATGTAGACCAGGCTGGCCTTGAACTCACAGAGATCTGCCTGCCTCTGCTGGGATTAAAAGCGTTTGCCACGATGCCTGGCTGAATTTTTTTTTTTTTTAATATTTTATTATTTTTATTTTTTTTTATGTGTATGCACGTATTGCCTGCATGTAGGTAAGTGCACCCATGTAGTACAACTCCCGTGGAGGACAGAAAGGCTATTGGATCCCCTGGAACTGGAGTTGAGGACAGTTGTTAGCTGCCATGTGGGTGCTGGGATTTGATCCTGGGTCTTCTGCAAGAATAGCCAGTGTTCTTAACTGCTGAGCTATCTCTCCAGCCCCAAGATTTAATTAAAAAAAATTTTATTATTTTTATGTGTATGAGTATATTGCCTACATGTGCCTAAGTGTACCCATGTCATACAGTGTCCTTGGAGGTCAGAAGAGGGTGTCAGATCCCCTGGAACTGGAGTTAAAAATGGTTGCTACCACCTTGTGGGTGCTGGGAAAAGAACTCCGGTCCTGTGCAAGAGCAGCCAGTGCTCTTAACCACTGAGCCATGTCTCCAGCTCCTCAATTTTCAGTAGTTATACAAAATATAGCCATTTGCTAGCTGGGCATGGGAAACACACCTTTAATCCCAGCACTCTGGAGGCAAAGGCAGGTAGATCTCTGTGAGATCGAAATTGAAGCCAGCCTGATCTACATAATGAGCTCCAGGCCAGCTGGAGCTACAAGGAGATTCTGTCTCAAAAGACCAAAATAAAATAAGGTATAGCCATTTGCAGTGTGATGATTCACTTCAGTGTTGACTGAAAAGTTTGACCTGAAGTTAGAACATAAACATTTTATCTGGGTGTGGTAGTACATGTCTTTAATCCCAGCATACTAGTAAGGAGGCCATCCTGGTCTCCTTAGAGTTCCAGGTCACCTGAGGCTACAAGGAGACCCTGTCTCGACAAAGGTTTCAACTTTTCTTTATGGGCATGTCCTCAGATTAGTTTTAGTTATGCCTTAGACAATTTTGGCTAAGTAGAAATTGTAACTCAGTAGTATATATAGAATAATGATTCTCAGAGTAATATTTTTGTAGTTCTTTTGATACATTTTGATTGTGTGAGAATCTCTTACTGCAGAATTACATTTAATTATTGTAGTGTTAAAGTAATAGGGCTTAGCAAATGGAAGATGAAATCAGTCATAAAAATTTTGTTTCTTTAGGGACTGGAAATGTAGCTTAGTTTGTAGAATACCTGTCTACTATGAATAAGGACCCTGGGTTCTATCCTTAACATTGTAGAAAGCTCGGTTTGGTGGTAATCCCAGCATGCTAGAGGGTAGGGACGGGAGATGAGAGAAGTTCAGGGTTTCCCCTAGCTACATGTCAAGTTCAAGTTTGAGGCTGAGCTGGGCTACATTAAAGCCTATTTAAAAAAGACAGGTGGGGGCTGGAGAGATGGCTCAGCGGTTAAGAGCACTGACTGCTCTTGCAGAGGACCCAGGTTCGATTCCCATCACCCACATGGTGGCTATGAACCATCCTTAACTCCAGTTCCAGGGGAATCTGAAGCCCCCTTCTGACCTCTGCGGCATTGAACAACATGAGTGCACTCACATACATGCAGGCAATACACTCATACATGTTAAAAAAAAAAAAAAAAAGGACAGGTGGATCTCTGTGAGTCTAGGCCAGCCTTTTCTATATAGTGAGATCCTGTGTCAAAAAACCAAAAAGAAGGGGCTAGAAAGATGGCTCAGCGGTTACGAGTACTGGCTGCTCTTTCAGAGGAACTGGGTTTGGTTCCCAGCATCCATATGGCACCAGATAGTCGTCCTTAACATAGTATGACACGGGTGCCTTGCATTCATTCACATGAAATAGAAATAATGAATACAATATTAAAAGTAAAGAAAAAGAAAACGGGTAGCATGAGTGTTGTGGTCCCTTTAATCCCAGTACTTGGGAGAGGAGGCAGAGGCAGGCAGATCTCTTTGAGTTCAAGGCCAGCCTGGTCTACATTGAGTTCCAGGCCAGCTGGGGCTACAGGAGATCCTGTCTCAAAAAGACCCCCCCACAAAAATAAAAAAAGGATTCTATTTAAAATTGCCAGGAATGGTTGTTCAGGCCTTAATCCCAGAACATGGAGACAGGATCAGGGGTTCTCTGAGTTTGGGGCCATCCTGGTCTACATACATGTTCCAGACCAGTCAAGACTTCCTAGTAAGACCCTATCTCAAAAAACAAAAACTTGGGGCTGGAGAGATGGCTAAGCGGTTAAGAGCACTGAATGCTCTTGCAGAGGACCCGGGTTCGATTCCCAGCACCCACATGGTGGCTACGAACCATCCTTAACTCCAGTTCCAGGGGAATCTGAAGCCCTCTTCTGATCTCCGCAGCATTGCACGACACGGGTGTACTCACATACATGCAGGCAATACACTCATACACATAAAATAAAAATAATAAAATATTAAAAAAAAAAACAAACTACCCCAAAACCTATATTAGAGCTGGGCATGATGGCACATGTCTTTTATCCCAAGCAGAAATGTCCAGACAAAACAAAGTAAGATCAGTGTTAGCTGGCATGAATACATATGTGTAATTCTAGCACTTGGGAAGTGGAGACTGGAGGATCACAAGTTCAAGGTCATCCTCTATCGACATAATGATTTTTGGTCAGCCTGGGCTACATAAGACCTTGTTTAACAAGCATCAACAGGGGCTGGAAAGATGGCTCAGCAGTTAAGAGCACTGACTGCTCTTGCAGAGGACCTGGGTTCAATTCCCAGCACCCATATGGCGACTATGAACTGTCATTAACTTCAGTTCCAGGGGAATCCAAAGCTCTCTTCTGACTTTTGTGGCATTGCACAACATGGCTGCACTCACATACATGTAGGCAACACACATAAAATAAAAATAATAAAAGAAAATATTAAAAGAAAAAAGCATCAACAAAAAATTTACCTTAGGTGGCTTGAGAGAATAGCTCAATTAATTAGAGCACTTGCCTATCATGTGCAAGGCGCCCTGTGTTAGATCCCTAGCACCACAAAAACAGAACAAGAATGCATTCAGTGAGATAGGGAGGTACATGTCTGTAGTTCCAGATGTTTGAGATGTGAGGCAGGAGCATCACTTGTCCCTCTGAGTTCCAGACTCATGTCTCAAAATCAGCGCCAGGCATGGTGGCACATGCCTTTAATCCCAACACTTGGGAGGCAGAGGCAGGCAGATCTTTGTGAATTAGAGGCCAGCCTGACCTACATAGCCAGTTCCAGGACAGCTGGGGCTACTAGGAGACCCTGTCTCAAAAAGACAAAAAAATCAGCAAAAACCAAACAAAACTTTTCCAAAAGACCAAGCATATTGACTCACGCCTTTAATCTTAGCACTAAGGAGGCTTAGTGAGACGAGGCCAGCTTTATCTACGTAGGGAGTTCCAGGCCAGCCAGGACTATATAGACCTGCCTCAAAAAAATCAAACGAAAACAAACCCTCCCAAAGGCCCCCCCCAAAATTACATTTTTAATGTGTTGCCTTTTTAAAAAAATTACATATATGAGAGTGTTTGCCTGTATATATGTATGAGCATCACATGCAGGCCTGGTGCTCTGAAGGCTAAAGAAACTGAAACTGGAGTTAAAGACAGTTGTGAGCTGTCATATGGGTGCTGGGACCTGAACCTGGGTCCAGTGCTCTTAACCACTGAGCCATCTCTTCATCTCTCCACTCCAGCACCTTTTTTTTTTTTTTTGCGATAAGGTCTCCCTGTAACCCCAGCTGGACTGGAACTCACTATGTAGTACAGACTGCATCTCACAGAAATGCTGAGTGCTGGAATTAAGGTTTATACCACCAAGCTTGGCTGTTACTATTTTAGATCTCCATGTTCCTTTCTTCTGGGAGGCCAACTGTGGCTTTGCCTACTGCTCTGCTTTTTATTGCAATTCTTTCACATTTTTAATACTATTGAACTAATATATGGAATTCAAATCAAGATTTTAGGGATTTCTGTGGGGACTATACTAATTTTACTAGTACTACTGCTACTTCTATGGTTTGTTTTTGTTTGTTTTAGTTTTTGGTCTTACTACTTAGGGTCTTGTGCATACTTGATCAAGTGCTATATCACTGAACTATATCTTGAATCCTCTTTTTACTTTTTATTTGGAGACAGAGTCTGATTAAAATGCCCTTGCTTGCCTTCATCTCACTTTGTAACCCAGGCAGGCCCTGGAAT